ATGTTTTCATTAGTGTATCATCACTTGAATATCGCCTTCCGTGGAGTTTGTCATGTAGAACCTCCATGTTTAAACTCTGGCTCTCGATTGGGCCTATATCGTGTTTTTTGCAAGTTTTGCAGCCACTGTAGTTTCTCCTACACACTTCACAGCCCGTTTCTCATTCCCAGGTTGTCAAATTACAGACACGAGCGATTGTCGATTTGAGGTCGCAATTTACAACTTCACCGCTATAGAGTGCCAAAAACACACTGGTCGTGCAATTATATACCAGTAGTTTGTTTAATCTGTACAACCAAACCAAACCAAGTGGTAAATGTGTAAATTATATATTTTCTCAGTAGAGCAGAAAAAAAACGAATCATTTTCCTAAAAATGTTTAACTATAAGATTATTCAAGTTTTATTGAATTATATTTCTGCTTTGAAGATGATTGGTAGTTGTATACTGGAGAGTAACTTTGTTCAGTTATCGGGTACGATTAAAAACACATATTGACACATTTATTTGTCTTGATTCTGTTTTATGGCAGTTTTATTACCTTGTTTGTGAACACTTTGTCACAAACTATATATAGATTTTTTGTTCTTCACCATCTGCAAACTTCTGCAACATCTTTTCACCTTCTTTTCTTTCTTCTTCTTCTCCTCCTCTCATGTTCAACCAGTCTTCATTATGAGGGAGCCATTCCAGACTCCAGGCCCAGGGTAGAAACTCCTTCATTACATCGTTGCTGCAGGAAAGAGAAGCAGCTAATGTGACAGCTGCTATTGTTAGCAGAGTCTACACGGGGCCACTCAGTCACTACTGCTGTTCAATTGAACAGTTCTAAATCTAATCACACAGATGAGTTTGCAGACTTGTTTCTGTTTGAGTCCAATCACCAATCATGATTTTTGAAAGAGAATTACAGTATCCAAGCCAGTAGACCATCATTAAGTAAAAATCGTAATTTATAGCTATTATTAAGTTTTTGTTCCCAAATCATGGGAGACTCTATTTCTGGTCTGACGGCCAGGTTACGACCTGTCAGCTTATTATTCACTTTTACTTTCTACATAAATGAATCTATGTCCACTTTGTGGTAGAAGACACGGTTAATGTTCACATCCAGAATCAGAACCAGCAGCTGTTTAAAAAAATTTATCCTGAATGATTGTGATTCACAACTGCCTTTCATCCCCAATTAGTTTCCAGTTTTGTTCTAGTAAAATTCTTACCTGCTGTTCACTCAAAATGTCCCAATTTTCATTACAGGGAAGAAAAATCTTTATGTAAATTGAAGAAGTAAACAAACAAATGATGGAAATAAGTTCATTTTAATTTAATTATCTATAAAGCAAGAAATCTCTGTCTGTCTGTGTGTGTGTTGTGTGTGTGTGTAGGTGTGTGTGTGTGTGTATGTTGTGGCTCATATCTCTGCAGATCAGCGATCAGGACTGACCTTGAGAGTTTCAACATGGGCTGCTGTGTGGTTTAAAGGGTGTGGCAACGTCGGGCTCGTGCAGCCAATCAGTGCAGAGCCCGTGGTTTGACAGGGTGTTCCCAGTTTGTCTCCCCTGCTCAATCTAAACCCGCAGACCACTTTAATAATCATTATGGGAGCTGTTATATGTGCAGTGATTGAGATCCTGACCCACCAAACATCCTGGAAAGTGACCAAGTTACGTTTTTCACTCTAAAATGACACAATTTATTACATAATAATCAGCCAGCAGTAAACTGGACTCCCTTCACTCGCAAGACGGAGAATGTTTTTAACACTCCGCAAGTTCTTCGCCGGTGACAAGAGCGCTGGTTTTTCGGGCAGAAATAGTAACGGAAGAGTCTTGGTAGACAGGCGGGAGGAACAGACAGGGAGGACAGACGCGTCTCCACGTTAGGTTACAAGCTGTGGTACTTTTTTTCCTCATATACAGTTTCCAAATGACAGTTACAGTTACTACGTACTGTTGTTTGGTCCTGTACGTTGGCTTTTGTGTGACATTTCTCTTTATCAGACTGTCTTGACCGTCACGCCTCGCTCCGCGCGTCGGTTATCCGTTCACACTGTACGGTTAAAAAATAATGCGTCCCTGAATACCTACCCAGAAGGAGGATCAGGGACGGAGGGACTTTCCCCCCTCGCCGCATCTGAGTCTTTCACACAGAGGAGGGTGCGGAGAATTGGCGCTGGATCCCGAATATCCTCTTCTCTCTCTACTCTCTCTCTCATCTTGATGTTATGCTGGCCATATCATATACACTTAAATATTATGTCCTTAGATACAACACTAGATTCCACCTTCAAAACAACTCATCCATCCATGAAAAAGCTAGTTTAAATAAATAAAATATACAGAACTAATATCTATTTTTTTAAATAAACCTAACCTGCCATTAATCGTAACAAATGTGACATTGTCCTTGAATGTCCACAAGTTACAGATATAAAAATAACTCTTCCATTGTTTAATGAGTAAAGCAGTGTTACCATATTGGAAACTATCTTTGGCACGTCTTTATTTATGTCTCAGTGCTACTAAGTCCATTATGAAGATGGACGGAGTGTTTGGAGATGATATCTGTGTGTTTAGTCTGAGGTACTTTATATCCCCATGAAGGAGGCTACAGTAAGAGTTGGACCAATTATATAACTTCTCTGGGTGTAAAG